TTAAGCTAATACAGCTCTCTGATTAGTTTATGCCTTATGCCATAAACCTTAGTCCAGATCTACAATAGGTGTTTTAAGCCGTAAGTAAATAAGAAATTGATCAATTATAGTCAAATATTCTTCTCGATTGTAATCGGTCAATTTCCTTAAGACTTCTTAAAAAATAATCACTGATCTTGTATCTTCCCTGTGTGTTGGCTGTTTTTTTAAAATTATATAACTTATATAGTTATATCATTATGTATTATATACTTACATCACATATGAATAAAAAAATTAAAAATTTAACTTACTTAATAATCTATATTGTAGTTATTTAATCTCATTTTAAGAAAAATTAGGACATTATGATTTAAAAAATAATTTTTTTCAAAATTAACTTTTTTTTAACTTAAGTTAAAAAAAAATTAATTCAATATTGACTTAATTTATGTTAAGTTAATTTTTTATTCCTTCAACTTTTACTTAACTTTATTAATTTTGTAGAACCATTAACTTTAACTTTATTCAGTTAAAAAAAACATTAACTTATCCAATCCTGGTATTTTTTTGTAGAGATTTTTTAAAGATTTTTTATGACAAATTATTTTATGTAAGAACTGAATTGTTCTGCTTGAAAATAATAAATAAAACACTCTAATATCCTTCTAGTGTCACGAATCAAATGAATTAAATTATTTATTTTTAATTAAATTATTTCTAGTTCTTGTTAGCGTCAAAATATAAAAAAATAAATTATATAAAACGATCAAAATAATTATAATATAAGGATGAAATAAGATTTAATAATATCTTTTTTTCGATGTAAGAACAAAATAAATCTATCGGTTCTTTTCATCTTGCAGTTGTGATAAAAATTTTTTGAAAGTCCTATAAACGCTATGGCGGCATCTACGGCATCTACGGCAAAGGAACTACAAGAAAGGATAAGAAAAAACAGAATTCGGCTTGGGTACAGTTTAACACATTTCGGCACCTAGCATTTCATTACCTGAAACTTAGGAAAGGAAAATTACTACAAAGTAATAAAAAAAGAGTCAAAACAAAATGTAAATAGTCCATAACTATGTCATTATTTTTCGACTGGTGAAAATTATATAGAGATATAAAAGAATGAAACATTAGAAAATTTCTAGTTTATTTCTTCATCTAACTGAGACTTTATCTAATTAGATTTTTACTTTTTTTCGACACACTATAAGTTGGATTTGTTATATAATACATATATGTATATTATATGCATTGAGAAAAATGGTCTAGTTGGATTAGTCATTCTGGTGGGCAAATCAGAATTTTCTGGTTAAATATACTAGAATTCTAATTGGGATAATTAGAATTCTAATTGATATAATTATTCTGGTATATTTTACCAGAAATATTATATCAATCAGAATTTCAGTTATCTCAATTAGAATTCTAATAAATTTAATCAGAAAATTTTCGTTGATGTAGAAATATGCAATTAAGTAGGACAATGTTTTATTTGGCTAATCTAGATTCTTGTGTATTCTGTGTGTGATTTTTAATAATTTCATCGCCGCGCGATGAATGAATTTATATATATATATATATATACACACACACACACACATATATATATATATATATATATATCCTCTGCATAGCTGTATATTATGTACAGTTCTAAATTATATAAGCGCCGATTTGATAAAATTGAAATCTAATACTAAACTGAGGTAGTAATAATACAAATTAAATTAATAAATAATTTAATGATATTAATTATAATATTTTAAAAAACTGTAAAAAATTTATTAAATTTAATTTGTCGCATGTGTAATCACATTTCAAATTCACTCTAGCCATCGACTGTAATTGCAATAATATTTAATTGCAATAATATTTATTATCAAATAAAGATTTTATTTGAATCTTATAAAAACTATCATTACACAACACAATCGTTTTGTTTCAGTAAAAAAAAATTTAAAAAGGCGCGTTTTCTTTCTCTCTCTCTCTCTCTCTCTCTCTCTCTCTCTCTCTCTCTCTCTTTCTCTCTTTCTGTTTTAATAACTTAATTTATTAATTCTCTTTTCTATACATTTATTTTCCGCGTTCGACAAACATAAAAATAATGTAGAGTTTATTTAATGACTTTAGATTATCCAGATTCAACACTTGTTTGCATATTCTATTTTATATATTTTTAGTAAACAAAGTAAGTGACAATTAAAATCTTCTACAAGTTACTTAAAGTGAATGTTCTGAAAATATATCAAAATCAAGATCAGATTTATTCATCAAAAAAAGATATCGTCTTAAAAAATATTTTTTTCGATACTATTTTTATACATCAATTTTTGCGCAATAGTATTGATAGAATCTGTTTTTTTAGTTACAACAGAAAAATGCTAATTTCAGTAGCATTAGATACGTTTGCCTTCTTGACAAAACGACTCGAATTTCTTATTTGTCTCGCGAAATTTTTTTCAAGAAATAGAGAAGCAACATGGCTATTGTTAGGCTCCGTATTCCCGAGACAGTTACGTAGATTATCTTTTATCCTGACATATTGCACCAAAGCTAAAACGATGCATGGTCGAATGAATATTCGGCCGCATTGGGCTTACCTCTCAATGGCGGCCAAGTCGAGGGTGCAAACATATACATATATAACTTGAACCAAAAATACGTTTCTATTTGTGTAGAAATTTTTTTCTATTATATATAAAGTTTTTGGAGTATGTTTAAAAAGAGATTACAAAAATGCATATAAATATTCGTAAAACACATATTCGTGTCTATGATAAAAGATTTATAAATAAATGTAACTTACTTTTTCGCTTCAAGTAATTTCCAATTTATTTTTACTTTGTAATCATTGGAAGATAATAATACCAGTTATATATAATTCGGAGTAATTTCCCTTAAAAAAAAACATCGAAACAGTGTTCTAACAAAATTTTCCGTCTTCTAATTTTATCAAGGATATTATACCATTAGAAATAATGCCAAAAGAATCTTTCCTTCTTAATAATTAAAAACTTGGATCGATAAAAAGAATTCATAACGCGCACGATTAATTACAAGGCTAATCAAAGCACCCTCAGTGTAAGTGCCTTTACATTGTTTCCCGCGAAGCATCATAAAAATACACCTGGTGTAATCTGCAAAGATAACATCAACTCAAGTAGGACTCTTTCGAGGGGGAGCGTGATATGCCATCGAGAGATCCAATCTCCGCTATATTACATTGGTTATGACGGATTCCTGGCGTAATTCACCGACTGTAAGAACAGCTCGCGCCCCAACCCTGTTTCGCGCGCGACACACGCGTGTACACACGCATATACATATATACACATTCACGAAGGGGGAAGCTCCATAGGGATCGAGCACGAGATAATTCAAGATGGAGTCAGGGAGTCAGGCGCAGCGCATCTGGCGGTATCTATTATTCCAAGTATATGCACTCCACCGTTTAACCTCCTCCACGTATCTCCACGGCATTTTGAATGGCGAAACTTCAACAAAAGTCTACCCTCTACCTGAGCTTCTTCCGAGCGCACGCATCAACGAATCTCAACGGCCGCGAAAGCGAGGGATTTAATTCCGGTCCTAAACAGAACACGTCCAGAATTACGGCGCCGCAGAATTAGGAGCTATTAACTAGACCAGCGACTTTTGTGGGAATTTTTAATATAGAATTGTTTGATGATGCTGCAAATACAGCTGCTTGTCTTAGCATTCAAATAAACGGATTTACTATATCAATGCAACACTGCAAATCAGTCATTTTATATTAAATCATCTGTTGAATTTTACAATTCATAAAATTGTGAACTACTTATCTCACAAGACAAAATGTAAACACTAAGTAAAGAATCTCAATTAGAAATCTTTTCGATAGATTCTAATATTCAGATATAATAGGTTTGATATTTTATATATTAACTCTCTTGACGAGTTAACGTCAATAGCTGTAACACAGTTATTGATGCTGAATCTATAAGATCCATTTAATTTATGTTAATTAAAAAATACTAATTAATTTTAGGTAATCAAAGTAACATACTTTGCTTAAAAAGAAATAAATATTAAGTATATATTTAAATAAGAATAATCTAAATTTGCTAATATACCATAAAGAAAATTGAATTGTTTTCAATTTTTGACAAAGATATTTATAATTGGCTTTAATAGACCCATCATCAACTCTGAGGATTGAAAAATTATCAATTAATCACTCTGCATCAATCTATTTTACAATTCATAAAACTGTGAGCAATTTTTATGATTAGTAATAAAAATATTACATATAAAAGAAAAAAAACATTCAGTATTATATACACTATTTTATGTACGATTAAAATCTCGGAACACAACCCTGTCATAAGTAAAGAGATGCCTGTGTGTACTGGATTAGAAAATTTTATAGATATCTATTTGAATTTACTAAAATTTATAGTTAATTTAATAATTGCCAGCAATAACGTTAATAATTGATTTCTATCCACCTATGATTTGTTTATGCCGAAAACAAACATAAAATACGATAAGCTTTCCATGCGCAAGGGGTGTGAGGAAGCTATCTTTCTTCTCACCTTCGTTCAAAGGTGATTCTCACAAAGTGATATTCACAGTGGCGGGGATGATGACGCAACCCTCCCGTCGCCTCGTAGCGATGACGTTCAACCCCCGAACGTTAGGAACGAACCACTCCTTTCGTCAGATCCGCCCTTTGCCGAGGGTAGGGAAGCCCTCGGCCAATGAGATACGTTTTCCACATAGCAGCATCAAAGCTGTTCACTATCGGCGCTTGGCATCAAAAAGTCTCGACTAAGGTGACTCTCAGTCAAATTTCACGCCGGTGCTAGTCCTTAGCGTGCCGCCACAGAAAGTGATGTCGTAAAACACGTAAAGACTAGCCGTCCGAAAAGTCCGGCTTTGAGAAAAAATCTCATTGTGTGCACGGTGCGATTGGTTTTGTCTTTCGCTCGAGCCTCTTCGATGACTATTGTGTAGTGACGATCACGAGGATGCAGAATCAAGAGTCACAGATGCCACATATGTCAGTTTCACCGCCAAAGATGCCGGCTTCTTCGAGTAAATAGCTCTCAATCTTATGTTTATTTAATATCATCGAAAGCTTAAGCATATTTTTTGATATTTTATTCTAAAAATTTTAACATGTTTTTCCTGCATAGAATATATTCGCCGCGTACTAAACTTTCCATTCAGATTTAACCATTTAATAATTTTTTTCTTATTACTTTTTTTTATTGATAGACTCTCGATTATTCTACGATTGTGTTATTCTGAAGAGAATTTATCTTACGTCTTACATTATACACATAAATAAATCTAATAAAATTTGTTTAATAATAATAACAATCAGACTTAAATCAAATTTTTAATGAAATTTATATATATATATATATACATAACAGTTTCTGCAATTATTTTTATAAAGGTTCACATACATTTTACAAATGTTTGTACCTTTAGTATAAATAATGTTAGTATAAACAATTGTTGAAATGAAAAATACTTCTAAATTTAGCATATTATTTTTTATTAATGCTCCGAGTATATAATTTTGTTTATTTCGAACTCTCCATTAATATTAAATTTTTTCTTTGAGTATCATCTATATTAAGAAAAACTGATGAATAACATATTTATTATATAAACTTCTTTTTTTCTGAAAGAAATTTCTTCTAAAAGAAATTTTTTCTTTATTATTTATGCTGCTTTTGTATCGTATTAGTCATAGGCTGTGAGTTATGTTCACTTTGTTTAATGCTACAAAAAATGCGAATGTAGAGTAGTATTTGAAATTAAGATTTAAGAAAAGGATAAACGGAATCGCATAAATGCGCAATCGTAGAATCGTAACGTTATCTAATTTAATAATTTTTTGTCGTTGTTTTTTCGTGCGCGTGCTCTTATCATACTTTACAACTTTAAAGCGTCATTTAAGCTGCAAGACTTTTGAATATGATTATTCTAGTATTTATTAATTACTTGTATTTATAAACTGTTGTATTTATTCATACAGTAACAGTTAACAAAGAATTATTTTATCATCTTGCATTAATGTATAAATATATTATTTATTGTTAGGTAAATGTTTAAATTAAATTTTTGATGAAAAAATTTCACCGATGAGATAAATGTTTCTAAAGATTGCAACAACAGAAAATTGCTTTTTTTCAGCAAGCAAAATGTTAGTAAAATATTAGCAGAAGACTTGATCGGAAACATCAATAAACTGGCATCAATAATGGTGGTCGCATTCTGCTTCTATTCTGTCGGCAGAACTTTTATAGCAGATTGATGACAGAAACCGAGTTGTATCTGCGCGCGGAGCAATGTATCTGACGATAGCCTAGCAGCTGAAACTGAATAGTAGAAACCGAAATGCAAATGCTGCTTAGCTGTACCGCCAATCTGCTACCAATAAGCACGTCAATAGGCTGTCATATTTCTGGCAGCAGTTTGTTGATATTATCAGTATTACGTTGACCAGATCAGTTTGGCTGCAAAAACGCAATATATATATATATATGTATATATATATATATATATATTGTTGCAAGACGCTAACATTTTAAACAATATCTGCATTAAGCAAGTGACAATGAATGAAAAATAAATAAGTCTGAATGAATAAATAATAAATAACGAGAACTACTTTTTATCTTTTTTTACGACTTTCTTCAAAATGAAGCAAAAAACAAGCTTATCTTTTCTAAGAAAAAAACTTTTTTACTTATTTATTACGTATTCATTCAGATTTATTTATTTATCGATCTTTGAAATTTGGCTATTTAAATTTGGGACATCTTGTATATTTTTTATTTTATGTACATTTTCTGATAACATAAAAAATTGTTTTTATGTTATATTAGTTTTTCTCTCACAATTTTATTATCTTCTTCTTTTTTGTTCCTTTTCTAGCATCTATTAGGATCGCTTATGGGATAAGTTCCCAATATGAGATAGCAAGATTTCTGCTAAACTAATAAGCTGTGATTGATTTATTATGAATTTATTACTCATAGAGTGAAACATATTTAATAGAAAACATTATTAAATCATGCGTATAGTAATTGTGAAAAAAGATTCTTCATTGAATGTTGTCGAGTTTTATTGAGGTTGATTTAGTCTTCAAATCTTGTTTTATTATATAATCAATATTTGATAATAAAGTCTGCATGCAATGATAGAGAGAGTAAAGTTGTATTAATAAGAAAACACGTAATATAATGATTTATTTAACTGTAAAGATTAGATTTAGTGATCATGAAACCGCAAGGCATGGAAGTCGTAATATAAGATATTTAGAGTATTCCTAGCTAATATGAGAACATTCAATACCTCAAAGCATACTATTGAACGAAAATATTAAAAATGATGATTCTATTATCAAGATTACTCACGCACATACCCACATACTCGCATACACACGAATCGAAAAATTATATAATATAATATTATATTATTATGTAATATTCGAATTCTTTATTCTTACTTGTATGCAACATATAACAAATATATAACAAAAACGTGTATAAAAAGCATACCTTTTATTTTTAGTTATTTTAGTTTTTTGTTAGAGATACCATCTCATACAAGAAAACCTTTGTATCTCATATTAAAAGCTTACCTTTATTTTTTCCGTTATTTTTCCATTAATTTTCTGTTGTGAGATACCATCTCATACAAGAAAACCTTTGTATCTCATATTAGGAATCCTTTTTTTGAATGAGCAAAATCGACTTTCGATAAAATTTGGAGGTAAATCTTGAATATATTTCTCATAAAATTGACACGAAAATAGGAATTAAGATTGCAAATTAAATAAATTATATAAGTCTTTAAGAAAAAGTATCTATTAGGCTTTACTCTAGTAACGACAGTGATTTTGTAGGATTTTACCTAAATTCCAAATTACCTCTAGTGAACTTCGAGTTTGACATGTTTATTGTCTGCAGAGAAAAAATTCTGAGTCACCTATTATAGCCAGTATAGTAACGACAGTGATTTTGTAGGATTTTACCTGAATTCCAAATTACCTCTAGTGTACTTCTAGTTTGGCATATTTATTGTCTTCAGTGCAGAGAAAAAATTCTGAGTCACCTATTATAGCCAGTATAGTCGATTCTTATATTTAAAATCCTTTTAAGTAATCCTAAGATGTCACGAATTAATCATAGAGCTGTATTAGTATTTTAAAATATTAGTATTTTAAAATATTTAAGATATCCTTGAAATAAGAAATGGACTATAAATACCGGCCTATAATTTATAACTTTATTTTATAAAATCAAGATTACAATCAGACAGATCTATAAACACAATAATAAGCCTTACAGTGTATGCATTTCCATAACATATACCTGTCGTAATCTATTGAAGTTGTCGATCGTGACATGCTTATTATAATTACCAATTCTCATGGTTTCTGCCATGGCATGCTAATTTCATCTCGTGTGAAATAATAAACATGTGGCCTTTAAATGTAGCGAACCACCGTGCATTTAAAACGATTCATCCCTGAGCGTAGGTCATCCATGAGAAAATAACGACAGATGGTTCAAAATGATGCGAGAACGAATCACTGTAGTGGTCGACTAGCAGGTTGACGCGGGTGGTTGAACACAGTGTCATTTGGTCTCCAATCAGTGTAATATATTGGGCTAATTAAAACATTGTACAAATCTATTTGAGAAGTTATGTGTAACTTTATTCGTATCTGTTTCTACAATTTTTCTATAATATGATAATTGTAAATAGAAAGATAAATATGTAGCATAAGTTTAGCATCTTCTTTTTTAACTTATTTTACATGCAAATAATTTATAATATGTTGTTTTAAGACATACGTAACGATAACGACGACATATTGATGATAAACAAATTGATGATAAGATAAAATTAATTGAATTCTTAAAATTATGAAGCATTGTTCGAGAAAAATTCGATTTTGTCTCTCGAAATTTTTGGGATAAGTCTATCTTTGCAAATTGCAGAAAGGGCATTTCGCGTCTGTGCGGCGAGCAGATGACAGATAGACATTGTTTTAGATCGATTACATGTGAACATACACTGATAGCAAGCAGTTGGCTCTAAAACACATGTCACTATATTCCCATACTCGTTTACCACGAACCACCTGATGGCGCGTGAAATGATAGAACGATGGGAAACAAGTCATTCAATATTACAAAAAAATTATGCGTAATTATATCTGTATATCTGTTTCTATCATTTGCGATGATTTTTTTTTAATATAACTAGTAAACAGATATACAGATGTTTGCTCTGTATATCGAGATCAAAATTATATAGTTAATAAGATTAAGTAAATTCATATAAATTTGTGCCCGAAAATGCTAAATTAAAAAAATGTTTAAGCCTATTCTACAATGTACTTTTTGTTTTCTGTTTCTTGCTTTTTGCTATTTTTTTTACATATTGTCTTTTTGCTTTTTATTCGGTTTTTTATCCGGTTTTATGTCGAGATAAAAGTTAATAAACTTCAAAAGAAACAAGAAATACGTAGCAAGAAATACAATTGTCGATAAAATGGTTGCAAAGGGGAAAAAAGCAAGAGATAAAAAGCAAGAAACATGAAACAAAAAGCACATTATAGAATAGTCTTTAAAAATTTATTAGCAGAATGTATTTATTATTGTTTCTCTAATAAAAATATTTAAAAAATTTTTAGTTCGATAAATGGAAATTTTCTTTTAGAATCAAACATTTTTGAACATTTATTGTAACTATCATAATAACTAATTATTAATATTATTATAGTTAATAATAAATGTTTGAAAATTTTTGCTTCTGAAAAAATTCAGGCTTCCATTCATCGAACTA